ATGTGTACAGTTCTGGATGATCCTAATACATGTGAATAAGTGCTTCATGATTTTCAGATTATACAATTTGTAGAAAAAAATATTTTGTTATTCTTGGTTTAAATTTGTTCTCTCCATTTTTTTTCCTCATAATCACAGCAGGGAGTTAGTATCATCAAATTATATCCATTGAACATTAAATAGATAATTTTCCAAAGTTGTAGGCAGTCTGTTTGGGAGAAGATTCTTATTGTAGGGAGATTTAATATCCTGTGTTTAGAATTTATGGATTGGTTTTGAAACAAAATTACTCTAATGAAAGTCAAGTTTTGGTTTTGCCTAAACTTGATCTCAAAATGTAATGTTAAAAAAAGATTAAGAAGAGCATTGATATTATATTTTGACTGGAGCATGTATCAAGAAAGAACTATTAACTATCTTAATGGTCATTTAACAAAAATAATGATTATACTCCATAATCCTTGTTAAGCCCCATCATTGAAAATTCAGGTTAGAGATAAACTTAAGAAAAGTCCTGTACTTTTGTTTATGTAAAAGAAAAATCATGTTTGTATTATTAAAAAAAGAAACAAAATACCTACATTAATCAGTTAATTATGATTCTGAAAGAAATAACTATCATTGCAGCCTAAAGTTTGGGGAATGAAAATAAGTTACTTGCCTGAGTGCCATTCATTTATGTTAACTTATAACGTGTGTTCATAAAACAGAGACACTAATGATTGAAAACTAGAAGAATGACCTTTGGTTCTTGAGCTATTTCCAACACTTCTGATGGTGACATTGCAGCAAATTCATATAAGAAGATATTGAAATTGTTTCACATATGATTCTTACCTGTTTTGCCAAAAACCTACCAAAGAGATTTGCTATAGCACCACACTCTACTACTTCACATTCATGAAAATACAGTAGAATAAGAGTCAAATGTAGTCTCACCAGTTCCATGAATTACATTACTTATAAGTCATTTGTGGTTGAAAATAATAGTGCTCCTTGGGAAAAGACAACTTTGGAGAAATAATTGAAAATTATTTCCTTATATTTTGGTCATGTAACTATTTCAAAATAAAATGTCACAAGCTTTGGTAATGTTTCTTATTTAGCTAGCAAAATGCTAGCAAATGCTAGCAAAATATTTGAAAACCACATTAAAGTATTGAAGTCAGTAATATTAAAGGTATATTAAAAAGTAATATTAAAGGTATAAGGATAATGTAATGAATCTAGAAAATTCAAGAGTACGGGAAAGTCATAAGGCATATTAAAGCATTATGAAATTTTCAAGGGAGGATTCAAGCATATCACATTTAGTATTCAGGTAAGTGTAGGAATTCTTCAAATTAAGAAAATTTTATTTATACAACCTAGAAAAATCTCAGTGTTGAAATTCTGAGCGTAATTTTTGAATAAGAAGTCATGTACTTAAAATATGACTACGGAATAAGAATATGATTATTATTCTGCTTTAAAAGTTTAGGCCATAAAAGTATAATATAAAGACATGACACACAGTTGAAACTTACTAATTTTGAGAAATTTGACAGATAATAGTCCTCAGTTTCAACAACTGTATTGATAGAACAATGCAATGTCTGTAATAGAAGTTTTCAGAATTCTCTTTAAAATCTATCTTGGAATATATAATGCAGTTTATTTTTGAGAATCTTGTTACTTGTGGGAAAGTGTAAATATAAATTAAAGCATGAATGGAAAGCAAGGCGGATCTGTCAAATCCTGCTGTGCTGCGGCACATCCTAGAGATCACAGTTCAGATTGGGATGCGTGGGCCAATATGGCAAGGCAGTGTCTTTCCCAAAGTCGTAGGCATGAAGGAGGGCTGGCTAGTAGCTGGACTCCAAACTCCTCAGAATAAACTTCCCCCGTGCTCTCTCTCTTTTTTGTCTTTTCAAAAATTGTATTTATTATTTTAAAATTAATTTTATTTTTCCATTAGTTTACATTCAATAATATTTTGAATTCTTCAGGCATACAGCATAGTGACTAGACAATTGTATACTTTACAAAGTGTTTCCCCAGATATTTCTAGTACTCGCCTGGTGCCATACATAATTATTACAGTGTTATTGACTCTATTCCCTATGCTGCACTTTACATTTCTGTGACTACTCTGTAACTACTGATTTGCATCTTCTGAATCCCTCCCCCTTTGTACCCAGCCCCCAGTGCACCACTCCTCTGGCAACCATCAGTCTCTTCACTGTATCTGAGTCTGTCCATTTTGTTTGTTTATTTTGTTCTTTAGATTCTACATAATAGTGAAACCATATGATATTTGTCTTTCTGTCTGACTTATTTCATTTAGCATATTTCCCTCTAGGTCAGTAATTTTTCAACCAGTGTGCCCTAAGAATTTTTAAGGGGCTAGGGGATGCAAATGGGGTGTTCAGCCCCAGGTAGGGGCTCAGTGGTGCTGTGAGATGCCAGCTGCAGCAGCACGAGAGGAGGCAGTGATGCCTGGGAGGGGCTCTGGGAGGAGGCTCTTAGCCAGGGCCGCGGAGGGGCGGTGCGGCTGATACAACGTCGTGGTGGTAGGGGACATGGAATGCGGCAAGATGGCGCTGCTGCAGGTGTTTGCCGAGGACGCCTGCCCTGCCTACGCAGGGGGTTATGTACCCACCGTGTTTAAGAACTTACACCTTGAGCTTTGAGATAGACAAGCAGCCATCTTAAGCTCAACAGGTAGGACACTTCAGGTTCCTCTTACTATTATAACGTGTGGCCGCTGACCTATCCTGATTCAGATGCTGTGTTCACCTGCTTCCACATTAGCTGACAAGAAACACTGAATAGTGTCAAGAAGTTGCCAGGGGAGACTCAGGAGTTTTGTCCCAATGCCAAAGTTGTGCTGGTTGGCTGTAAACTGGGCACGCGGATGACCTTGTCACAGTGACGGAGCTGTCCAAGCAGCGGCCTATCCCTGTTAGACATGAGCAGCGCACTGTGCTGGCCAAGCACTTAGGGGCCGTGTTCCAACGTAATGTGCTCCTCCCGGTCCTCCGAGCGCAGTGACAGGCACATCTCACATGTGGGCACTGTGGCCTCCCTTGGCCATCGGTGCAGTTAGGCTTTGGCAGCTGTGCCGTATGGACTAACACCGGTAACTGCAACAATCCACTGAGCTGGCAGGACAGTCAGATTGGAAGAACAGGAATGAAGGTACGTAAGTATCAGCTGAGAGTTGCAACCTCATGTGAGGAAATGAGGAGGGACAGTGTCAGGAGCGGGGCTGAAGGGCCCAACCATAAGTTCTTTGTTAGATTGTAATGGTGAGCGTCCTGCTTTATCTCCCCTTTGCCGCGCATTCCTAGCTGTTACCTAACATACCCACGGGACTTTGAGGAAGCGAGCAGGTCAGGCGCCTGGGCCAGGAGCTGGGCCAGGGGCGGGGGGACTGCGGGTTGGCGACAGGGGTGGAATGGCGGGGGAAGCTGGCATCCAGCAGTGACCTTGGTTGAGTCTCCGAACACCAACAGTACTTTCCCTCTCAGCCCAGAGTCCCCATGTCCTGCTCCTGGCTTCCTTTCCTAATGAAAGTGTCCATTCCATGACCTTCCCTTTTCCTTTCCTCTGGCTTCTACAGCTGCTCTCACTCATCCTTATCTCCAGGCCAACAAGCACGCAATTAAAAAGCAAGTTGAGAAGCCCCTTCCCCCATATACCCACTAGTTCCAGCTCCTCCTTCTCTTCCCCCAACAGTCCCCAAATAAAGACCATGTCTATGGGAAAAAAAAAATTAAACATGTAGTATCTGACTATTTAGTCAGGTGCAAGGACATCTTTTTCCTTAGATTGTTAAGTTAAAAAATGACAACAGACAACACACTAGTTGTTCGGTGTGAATCAAAATTGTATCTATTTTTTGTCAGATTGGCAAAAAATATTTTTTGGTGTACTGCACAATTTTAGTGGTTTGTATATACCATGAAATGAAAAAGGTTGAAAATTGCTGCTCTAGGTGAATCCATTTTGCCACAGATTGCAAGATTTCATTTTTTATAGTTGAGTATCTTTTATATGTATGTACCAACAACATTTTTATCCAGTTGTTTATTCATGGACACCTGGACTATTTCCATATCTTGGCTATTGTAAATAATGCTGCAATTAACATAGGGGTACATATATTCTTATGAATTAGTGCTTTGGATTTCTTTGAGTATAGTCCCAGAAGTGGAACCACTGGGTCCTCATGCTGTCCTGCTTCACCAACTTCCTTCCTATCCCTGAAATTTTCATGAAGCACGCTTTTAAAAATGTGAATACACTGATTTAGTGATGTGCTAAATATTCAAATTCCAACATTATTTTCTCACAAATCCAGCATCTGTAACAGTTAATAATGCAAATCACTGCAGTGGTAATTGTGGGTTCCCCGCCCAATTTTTCTGAATGAGTAAGGACAGTTAAGCCTCCCAAGACAGGAAGGATCATTACTAAAGAGTTATTTAAATAATTGAGAAGTTTTGTAACTTATTGTACATTTACCAGAAATCATCATACCAACATTCAGGAACTTTGCCCATTTCAGGCTGTATGTTATAAATACTTACATGTTCTTAAAATACTGAATCTTCTAATAAGTTAATGATTATTGAATTACTTATCACAAATAAGAAAAATAGGTCTCTCAGCTGTCTGGATTTTCATGAATTTCACATGTTGGTAACACCACCAATACCGCCCTTTGCCACTTTCTCAAAAACAGGGGTAAGGAGAGAGTATGAAACGAATGTAACCCAGGGCTATTTTCTGAACGCAGATGACTGATCACTAGATGATAATAAAGGTGGCACAACCAAAGCAAGGTAAAGTCAGTAAACAATATTTTACTGAAACATTTCATAACAGAAAATCTGTCTGAAGTGTAAAGTTACTTACTGTCTTACACAGAAGGACAGACCCATTTTCAAAGACTAATATGAATACAATAAATATGGAGTTTACATACTAATTTATACACAGATACTCTGCCCCACAGCCATAAAAATTTATACTTAACAGTGCAACATATAATTTAATCAGTTGATTTGACATTTTTCTTACTAAACACAAATAACTACCTGGTTTTCATATATATAATATATATTTTATATAGAGAGAGATATTCAACAATCTGTACAGTTTCTAAACATAAAACTCCTAAAAGGCACAATTGTCTATACAACATGTACAAAAATGGCTGGAGCTGACACAAAACAATTATTGGTCAAAAATTCATGATTGCACAAAGATTAGTCATGAGTTTATGTCAGAAAAATGTGCTTTAAGGGAAGGAGAGTTTTCAAAGTAACCTTTAAGTGTTCTATAAAAAAACAAAACAAAAAAACAAAAACAAAATCCCAAAAGAAAAAGCCACTAGGTTGCTATCACAAGCCTGTCTTCGTCGTCGTCACTACTCACATCACTGAACTGCGCAATGGCCTGTCTATGGGGCAGGGCCTTGGGCCTGGGCACCTGCCTGCCTGGAGAGAGAGTCTGCTGGCCTGACAGCTCTGGGAAATCCTTAGGATGTACCTTCGGCAGAGACTCTGACCTGTATGCTGGTTTGCCCTGAACTGAAGGGAGTTCATGCTTGGGCTTCACATGATTGACTGAAGCAGCCTTCCCTGTGTCCATTTTACTATAGTCATCAAGCCTTACATGGTCTCTTGTAGGGGCAAGTGGATCTAGTAGGTTTTTTGCATTTTCCCGCTGTGCTTGAGGTGACCCCTGAGGAGATGCGGTCTTGCTGCCCTGATGCCCACTGGCTATAGAAGTTGGCTTGGGGTGTGCCTCACGTGCTCTGTTTTGGGAAGCTGGTGTTTCGGGAGCTCCCTGTGCATCCACGGTTACTTGATTGACTGAGGGAATTAAAGTAGGCAATGCGATGTTCAAGATCTGGAGGCCGGGAATGTGTGTCTGAGGGTTGGTACTGCCCTGTGACGAAGGGTTTGCAGTCAACACCTGCAGTCCAACAGCATTGAGAGCCAGCCCTGGTGGGTGTACCTGCGGGGCAACGTTTGTATTGGCGAGGCCTAAGATATTGACGGTTTCCATGCTTAGGGATGGAAGTGACTGCAAGCCTGGTGCACTGAGGTTCTGAAGGCCTGGCACATGGATTTGGCCAATGGGAATACATGGCACAACGCTGCTTAATTCAGCCACTCCCGTGGAATTTGTAGTGCCAGGAACTTCTGTGATCGTATCTCCAGGAGTGCTAACAGTTCTGTGAATTACATTGACAGCAGGAATTGTAAGCTGCATGGGCCCAGCTTGAATGGGTACAAATGTAGAATACGTGAGGCCAGCAGGTACCACGTGGATTCCCCCAACTGGAACCATATTATAAGGTGTCCTTGACTGCTGTTGGGAATGCAAAGGAAGGTGGCTAAACAAATGAGTCTGGGGAGAAGGCAGGCCTGGAGTCGGTGGGAGAGTGATTTGCTGCTTCTGCTCCTGTGTGTCAGACTGCGGCAAGGCCACTGAAGCAACTGCCGCCACTGTCTGAGGGCTGCGCTCAGCTGCTGGAGGAAGTCTCATGAAAGATGTGTTCTGAAAGACAAGAGAGAGGAATCGGTTCAGGGCAGAGCTTTCTTAAGTCACTGGGCTAAATATTCTTCCTAATGAGGTGAAGGTATGCATATTTTATTTTATAAAAGTATGACTTTGCTAAAAATTCTACATTGATTAAAAAAAATAAATTTCCAATAGAAAAACTCTATTGTACTTTTAATCCTTTTATTTTCTAGTACAAGTAACAGCAGCACATTTTTTGTATAATACTTTGCATTTTTTAAATTTCCTGGATATTATCTCATTTATACTGAAATTAACTCTGGGATGTGGCTATAATTACATTCAGCTTTTCTTGTTGATTTTATTGCTGGCACCACCAGCTCTACCCCATTTTAAAGATTAGGAATCATTGAGAAATAGAAGTATCAGTTGGCAATAAGTATCAACTCAGGAAAAAATTAACTGGAAAATCATTCATTTATGAAATAAAGAGTTATTATGAACAAAAAGGTCAGTAATTGTTCATTTGCTGTCTTTCAACCATTGATAAGTTTATGAAGTATCTACTGAAAACCAGATTTCCAGGCACTGGAAGGCATGTGAGAGATTTTGGGACAGAGAAGATTGAAGTACAGGCAACCAATATGAAAGTAATGAAATGTTAATAGTAGTAATAAATCTTGCCTATCCTCTGATCCACCCAAGATTATCATTTAAATATTAGCTTTTTCTTGATATTTGTATTATAAAGCTACACTAATTTATATCATAATTCAATCTAAATATTAATATAGTTTAACTTAAATGTTAATGTAATTTAATTATGTTAATTTAGGGTAGTCTACAGAAATCCAAGCTTTCATAGTCTTTTTGTTTTTCTCCAGTGTCACCTAGTAAACTGAAATCTGCCACATTAAGAAATAAATCATAGTGCAGTTGTCAATGCATACAGGAGGACACAAAACTGTCAGTGACAGAAAAATGTATTTCTCACAGAATGAAATATTCCTCACCAGCCACCAGGCATAAACGCCGGGAATCATTCACAATGCCCTGGGGGGGACTTCCAAGGCCTGTATCTGGCCCTGAGCTAGTTCTTGGGCTGGAAGTTTTCCCAAGCTGCCACCGCAATTTGATCATTCAAGCAAAGTTATCTTCTTGATACCTTTTTTTGGGTCACATTAACTTTGCCATAGAAAGTGGTAGCTGTTTTGCCAACAGGGACAAAGTGCAAACTGTCTGGATAATCTAGTACAAATCTATTACATCAATCAATGCCAGTGGAAAAACAACTTGGAGTAGGAATGGGATAAATGTGTCCAAGATTCATGTTTGTAATAGGCACATAGACATTTTTCACTTTTAAGACGTTAAAAAATAAGGAAATAATAATAAATGAGTATATGACAAAAGATCCATTTGGTTCTGTCACAGATTTATAATACAATATATGAACTCTGATTAAAAAACCTAACAAGAATCTGAAGGAAGTAAATACCCTTTGCCCTTAAATTAAAAAAAAAAAAGTCTTAAACAAACTGATTTAGCCATAAATGAATAAATTAAGTACATTATTTTCTTAAGCCATTACGCTCCCCATATTTAATAGGTTAAACAAAAGGAAACAACAAACCATTTACCTGTGTTAAAGCAATAGCCTTTCCTGCCATGGACGTTCTCAGAATTTCTTCTGATTCAGGGTAGTCTACAGACATTTGATGACATGGAGACCTGTGAACAGTTTCAGGTGACCTAGAAGAATCTACAGGAATAGTTGTCTCATCTTCATCTTTTGCAGCACACTGCCTGGTCCTCACTGGGGACTCTGCCTTACTACTGTGGTCTGACTGCACTGTGCTCAGTACGGTCATCTTGGTGGGCAACGCTCTAGGCAGGATGTCCATTGGGTCCGTGTGTACCCCAGAAAAGCAATCAGTAATCCTGATGTCCTCGTCAGCACTCACAGAGTCCTGAAGGCTACTTCTAGAAGGAAGATGCTGTGGGCTGGCTGGGACGGAGGGAGCTGCCGACAGAACTGATTCAGCCTGGCTGTCTTCATCATCATCTTCATTTTCAATATCGTCTTCCTCTGGGCCATCAGATTCTTCAAGATCATACCCAGAGCGCTCAAAACTGAATCTTTGTCTATCATCTAATAAAAACAACCAAAAGGACTGGGTTATAGAATGTTTTGCAACTGGACGAATGCAATTATTTTTTTAAAAGTTTGGCAATATTGTGAGAGTATAAAAGACAAGGACTCTAACCCACAAAAAGCCTACAATTTAGTTAAGGAGAAAGACATGGGGAAGAATGAGTCAATCGGTCCAACAGGAATCAGAGAAGTGAGGCACTAACAGAGAGTGGCATGGCCAGGGGAGGCTTTGTTGAGGATGCAGAATGTGGAATGAGCTGTGGAAGAGCAGACAGGCAGAGGGTTGACATAAACAAGTCAGAAATAAAGGCCTCAAACATTAGACTTGTAAAATCCCCCAAAGAAGACTGAATATTAAAAAGCTTAATAGATTTCAATGAAATTATTTTCCTGAGTTCTTTTTTTATATATACTTCTTTGTGTTTCCCTTATATTGAACAAATTTTATTTTTTTACTGTTGCTTTTTAAAAGAATCGACTTAATTATCAGGTGATTTTTTTTTTAATTGTTCAAATACATTTGTCTCCATTTTCCCGCCACCACTTTCCCCTGCCCCACCCACCCTTACCCTCCCTCCCTCAATCCTTCCCCATTTTGGCTTTGTCCATGGGTCCTTTGTTGAACAAATTTTTAAAAACCTGGTGGCATTTCATATTTATAAGCAAAATAATTTTCCTTAATACTTGAATAGTATTTTAGACATGCTTGCACTGTATTCCAAGTAGTAATATTCTCTTATATTTAAGCCTCCTTCTACTTTTTATCTTTTCACTTAGGTGCTAACTTTTCCCATCATTTTTTCATGCTGTAAGATTCAACCCACTCTTTACAGGATGGGGAACATTAATTAAAAATCATTCATATCAGTCTTATAATCTCATGTGAGACTGTATCTAACAAGGAATATTCAAGGTGGTCCAGGGAAGTCACAAAATTCTAATAAGCTCATAAACCTTACCTATTCAACATCTCGCAAAATTAGAGGCCCTTTTCCTTAGAAAATCAATGTTAAAAAATTAGATCGGTAAAGAATGCAAAACACCTATCACATTTCTTTCTCACTGAGCTGTAATGAAGCAGGTATCAGACCACATCAGCTTAGCTGTGATACATTCTGCATTTACACGTATGCTTTTGAAGAGAAAAAGATGTAAATAGAAAACAGGCAACTGGTATATTTCCTGGCTTTCCCAAATGGTCTGTATATTAATTTATCTTACTACTTTTTCTATATTACAAAGGTAAGTTCTTACAGAAAAGTTTCAGAAGACTGACACCAGCAGCGCAGGCAGTTATTTCTAAGATGGAACATACCATACAACTTTCATGTTGTTTATCTCAAGCATGTGTTATTTCTATAATTAAAATATTCCAAGATAAAATACAAGCATTTAAGTTCCTTTAATATGTGATTTCATAAGCCTTTTGTTTTAAGGGTTCTAATGTTTTGTTATAAAATAATAAATAAATAATATCAATTAATTGAGTCCTACCAGGTGTGTATGCTAGAAATGGAATGGATGATTTCTGGGTAAAATTCCTGATCCTGCCTCAGTAACACCTTTCCTATACTCTGATGTTTGAAATTCTAAAGTCATTCTCAATTTGTTTTGAATTTGCCACATTAGTGCCAAATCAGATATATTTTTATCATCATTTTTTCTTTTAAAGAGGAAAGTACAAAATAAAAACAGAAACTGGGTAACTGGTAGAAGCAAGAATCAAGAAGGGGCTGATTTCATTAAAGACCAACCTGCTACAAAGTCTAACTAGGGAGGGACCAACTTTAAATTTATTACTTTTTCCAAACCCAATGTAAAGGTCAGGTCCCAGGTAATCCAAGAGCCCAAACTCTAAGCAGAGACATTGTCTGTAGGAAAAGGGAAGATACAGCTTACATTATCAGGGTAGATGCAACAGGACACTGGGCAGCAGGAGTCTACTACATAGCTGAAGGATTGGTCAGAGTGAAGTGTGGGCTGGCAGGACTGAGTATATCCTCTGGGGTTACATTCTCTTGCAGGCTCATGCTAGGAACCCCACCCAAGTGCTCAGAGAAGGGAGCACTAAGTATACATTGTGGTCCAGAGTTGGGAGAAGAGGAGCAACAGCCACATAGCAGGGGCAAGGAATTCCACCTGGGTCCATCTCCTCTCTCTCTGCACTGTAGAAGAAAAACCTTACCCTATACTGGGAAAAGCAATACACACGGTCGTCTTTAGGACATAAGTGGAAACTCACTATAGGGAAGAAAGGAAATGAATAGAAGAAAATATACAACTCTACTTCTTGAGGAGGAACAGATTACCAGCTGAGTCCACCACAACAGCTGGAGGAGAGAAGAATGAAGTGCCATAGCCCAGAAATTTAAGAACATGGTACATTTAGAAGACTGGGAATGGATCACAGAAGCAATGGCATACAATCTCTTCACCCCCTACTGCCAAGCTAAAGAGCTTTAAGTGACTGGTAGCAAAATACTCTTAGGAGAGAGGCAGCGGAACAAGAATGTGTGGAGTGACCCTCTGTGAGGCACTATACAGAGGGAAGATCTAGAACTCAAACTGAACAGACACTGGTCTTGTGACTCATCATCCACCGCAAACACAAGGTATCTCTACAGGAATTGGAAGCCTCTGGCGCAGTAAGGGTAACCATGGCAACAGAAAACCTCTCAAGCCCAGTCCAACTCTAATTAGAAGAATTACCACACTAAAAGCTTAGCAGAAGCAGGGGCATGCCCATTACAAGGCATAAAAACTATTTACATTAGTCTGTGCTACCTTGTGTAAGATGTCAAACTTTCCACAAAAATTAACAGGCACACAAAAAGGCAAGAAAAAAACATACTCAGAAGAGAAAAAGCAGTCAGGACCAGTCAATATTGCACACATGTTACAACTGTCAGAGAATTTAAAATAATTATGATTAATATGTTAAAAAGTGCTAACGAGAAAGGTAGACAAACATACAATATCAAATGGGAATTTCAGATGAGAGATGGAAACCACAACAAAGAATGAAATGAAATATTACAAATGAAAAACACAGTAACAAGAAAACTGTCAAACCCAGAATTCTATCCCATTGAAAATGATTTTGCAAGATGAAAGAAAATACAGACATCCTTTGAGAAAAACAAAAACAGGGGACTGACTCACTGCCAGCAGACCTACTTGACAATAAATGGTAAAGAAAACTTTAGGCAGAGAAAATATGGTAGCATATGGAAACTTGGATCTACACAAAAAAAAGGAAGGGCAACAGAAACAGAATAAATCAAGGTAAAAATTTTTTTTTTTTAATTTAAAATGCTTGCTCTAAAAGCTAAATGAATTTTCATAGCAAAATAGTAACAATGTACTGTGTGTTTATAGCATATATGCAAATGTAAAAGATAATACAACTACAGCACACAGGATAAAAAGGAATTACGAATATACCCTTATAAAATCTTTAGACTACATGTAAAACAATGTAATATTACTTGAAAGTAGACAACTAAAACTTTTAAAAGGTATAAATAACAAGTCAATGTAGAATATAAAATAGAATCATAAAAATGCTCAATTAAGGCATAAAAAGAAAAAAAATGAAACAAAAAGTAGCTGACAAGATAAAATGGTAGGTTCTGATCCAACTACACTAAAAGGAATGGTCTAATGCAGCGATTTTCAACCACTATGCTGAAAGAACTTTTAAAACATACAAAACATGACTCTTTAGTCAGGGGCACTGACCTCTTTTCCTTCAGATTGTCAAAAAAAAAAAAAAGCAACAGCCAATACAACAATAGCCATCCTGTGTGAATTAATAAAAAATATACCTATTTTTTTAGTCAGATCAACAAAAAAAGCAAAACATTTTTTTGTTGTGCTACAGATTTTTAATGTGTCATGAGATAAAAAAGGTTGAAAACTGCTGGTCTAACACATGAGTTAAAAGAGAAAGACTGCCAGACTGGATAAAAAAGCAAGTCCCAGATATATAATGTGTACAAGAACACCATTTTAAATAAAAATATATAGATTGGAAGTAAAGTCTGGAGAAAAATACACCTTAGATCATTAACTAAAATACAGCTGGAGGGAAAAAAACCCTATACTCATATCAGATGAAGTAGACTTTAGAACAAGGTGTATTATCACAGATAAAAAGGGACATTATATAATTAATGATAAAGGGGTTAACTCTACAAACATACAATTCCAAATGTGTAGCAACTAGCCAAAGCTCAAAATAAATGAGGCTAAAAGTGCAAAAAAGTATTAAGTACACAATCATAGTTGAAGACTTCAAGAGTCCACTCTCAGTAACTGATGAAATGAGTATTTAGAACATCAGTCCTAGAAAACCTGGGGAACAATATCAACACTAACAGACATTTAAAGAATGTTTTGCCCACCAACAGCAGACTACACTTTCCTTATACATGTATATGGAACATTCACCAATACATTATCAAATTCTGAGCTACAAAATAAACCTCAACATATTTAAATGAATAGAAATGACAGAATGTTTTTGGATGAGAACAGAATTAAGCTAGAAATGAGTAATTAGAAGATACCTGAAAAACCCCCAAATACTTTGGAATTAACATATTTCTATATAATCCATGGGTCAAAGAGAAAAATCTCAAAGAAAAGTTAGAAATATTTTGAACTGGATGAAATGTAAATGTACAGTCAATATTTGTGGCATGCAGCTAAATTTATTGTAATAGATGCCTTGATTAGAAAGTATGAAAAGCCTCAAATAAATAATCTATTATCACCTTTGGTAATCAGAAAAAAATAAGAAGAGGGAAGGAAATAATGCAAGAAGAGGGAAGGAAATAATAAAGGTGAAAACAGAAATAACAAAACTGACAAAAGAAAAGTAGACAAAGTCAATGAAACCAAAAGCTGGATCCTGGCGGGGGGCGGGGGGAAGGAGGTGGGAGGGTTGGTGGTGGAAATCAATAAAATTGATAAACCTCTGGTAATACTGGCCA